CTCACCAACCGAATACACACTGTGTCGTAAGCCATCATTATCTTTAGGCAGCCACAACAAGGATAAGTGGCCAATGGGTGGTTTGATTTTCCCTACAGTCCGTAGTGAGATACACTAAAAGGATAGTGGTAGAGACAAGTATAAAGAAACTCGGTTCTCACCTCCCATAGATCCTTACACTCCATCTTCTTGGTGTCAGTCATATCTTGTTACGATTCCTAAGTCTTACCGACCATGGAAACCTTGCGCGGCGCTGTTTATGGCTTCCCCCAGCCCCAACCACGCATTCGCAGCAAACCACTGCAAGTAATCTGCGTAGGCCTACCACGATCCGGAACAGAGAGTCTCAGCCGGGCGCTCACCCAACTCGGCTTCAAAACCTACCACGGCTGGGACATTGTCTTCGACGACCCATCCTATGCCCAGGGCTGGGCGCAGCTAGCAGAGCGAAAGTATTCGGGCGTGCAAGGGCCAGGCGACGCCCCAATCACTCGCGACGAGTTCGATTGCCTGCTGGGGCATTGCGATGCAGTGGTGGACACAGCAGCCGCCATGTTCAGCGTGGAGATGATCCAGGCGTATCCAGAGGCTAAGGTGATTTTGAATACGCGGCGGGACGTGGACGCCTGGCATCGCAGCGCCATGAACACCTTGGTCGCAGAGGGTGAAAACCAGTGGATGGCCTGGTTTCTGCGCGTTTTCACGGCGGATGCGTACTGGCTTTGGAGGTTGTACTACACGATTGGATATCCCGCCATGTTTCGTGGGCGGACGACCAAGGAGGGGCTGATGAAACATGGGAAAAGGGTGTATCAGGAACATGGGTTGATGATTCGAGGGCTTGTGCCGAAGGAAAGGCTCTTGGAGTGGGATGTTGAAGATGGATGGGGTCCTTTGTGTGAGGTAAGTCAAGCTTTGCGTAATATTTCAGTAATTTGGAAGAGTGTGTCAGTTAATGTTGTGGGCTACAGTTTCTGGGTAAAGATACCCCCGATAAGCCGTTCCCAAACACCAATAACCCAGCAGCTTTTCGGAAGCACATCCAAAGTACAGTGCAGCCGAGAGTTAAACGGGGACTGTTTAATTTTGCATGTTGTGCCACTTCGGTGGGCGTGTTGGTGACTGCTGTTGTGTTGGGGGTGAAGAAGAGACAAGCATGGCAAACTCTGATCTGGGAGATACCCGTGGTGGTCAGGCAATGCTTGGAGTCATTGTCAATTTCGAAGTAGTTATTAGTTTAAAGGGCAGATGCGGGTAAAAATAGCTTCTTTGGGGACTGCTGAGCAAGAAAGAAAAATTGAATGAAAAAAATAGAATCCCCCGAACCAGAATCGAACTGGTGATTTTTCGGTTACAATAATACCCATTACAGCCGAACGCCATAACCAACTAGACCATCGGGGGTTGCTATGGAGGAATCTCCCTATTTTGATTTTATATTCCAACTGCTCAACATATAGCATAATGGCAGGATCTAGTCATGTCGTTCACCTGCCTCACTAGTTATAATTACAAAGCTGGATATCCGTGAGACATTCAAGATACAGGTTCAGTGTTCTCAATTACTGCTGTCGGTTTCCAAGTAGGTAATGCAATATAGGTTGTCGCGTCGAGGTCCTGCTGACCCTTCCTCAGCTACTGCTATGTAGTAGTATATATATTCGATCGCGGTCGGATCAAAGGGGCGATGTTACTAGAGCAGCACCATGATGTGACTGACTGCGCTGTGAAATACTATGCTACCATCAGATGGTATTAGTAGTAATATTTTAGAACAACCACACAACTGCACTACTTACTACTCAAAAGCCTTAAATTAGACACAAGCAATATGTCTCGATCATAAGAAAGGAAAGAGCAGGTGATATAACCTACATAGAGGATTAGTATTCCTCAGAGCGTCTTTTATGTCTATCCTATGCGATCAAAACCGCCTGTCCTAAACTGACATAGTAGTATTGACAATCACAAGAAACCGCTCATCCTTATAAAAGTGTTTTCTTTATCTTTCCTCTTTTTTTTCTCCTCCCTTGTAAAGCTATAATCTTCCAGCCCATCAGAAGTACCATCATCCCCCTCCAACACATCAACAGCCAACCCAAAAATCTAACTCCGTCGAATTCCATTCTGCACCAACGGCTTCATGCTAGAAAAGGCGTATCTAGCAATCAACCACTTCCCATGCTCCCTCCTCAAGATGAACAATTCCTGATTCGCATGTGGCTCAGACTCCTGAGTGGCAAGTATCGTTTTCGTTCCTTCAGCCGTTGTCCTGGCAAAAGCCCACTCCGGAGACATAACAACGATCTCTTCAATTTGAAAGGTGATAACGAGCTGAATGGTTGCAAAAATGCGTGTGTATGAACCGCGTAGAGCCTCGGTGCCTGTACTGGCCGAGAAATGCGGCGGCATGATGACCCCATCTTCCGTGTAAAGAGCTACTGCTTCGTCCACATTCCGGCTTTTCAGAGCGTTGCCGTAAGCATGGAGGAGGGCAGAAATTTCGTCGGTGTCGGGGGTAGACACTGCAATCGAGTCAGACCTTGCCATAGAAAGGACCCTAATCTATCGTGGGAGCACCTACTGATGAGTTGATTCCTGGAGTAAAAAAGAAGGGACTGAGATCTGAGTGACTTCAAAAATGTGTCTGCTGACACTAGTTAGTCCGCCTACTGATATCTAGCTAGCTTTACTGACCGAGTATTTGGCCTTATATGTGGCCTTTCTGTCCAGAAATGGATACCCCCACTTTGATAGGTGGGGGTTTGGCATCTCATAAGATACAGATTGGAGGCTTTTTGGAAAAGTCAGTCGAGCCATCTTGATAATTTTGTATAGCAGGTACTGTGCTGAACATGGCACAATCCATGGCTCGCGGTGCTTGGAAAATGGTGCCACACTGGGGTCAAGCTACGCTGTATGTCCAACCGGGAAGCTACGGGAGTACATGCCGTGATGTTCTCGATGGTATGCGGTATAGATTTACGTTTCAAAGTGTCCACCAAAAATCTATCATACTGCGGTAGGATATAGCTGGTATGACTCAATGGCTTCGATGCTAGGATTCGACGGGTCGTTTTGGCGGGGGGGATGGCAAATCTGACTGCTGCGCGCATTGTCGCTATACCTCACCAACAAAACTTGAATGCTGCCTCAAGAACAGATTGTCAAGTACGCCATAAGGTTGGGGACACAGATGCCGTACGGTAAGAAATTCGGAGTTGGAGGCATAACCTCAGAGGAGCATCCCGCATGATACCAAGAGTGGGGTGCCTTTCTTGTTGACCAGAGCTAGCGGAAACTCATAAAAAAGTTTAACTAAAAGGCCTGGACTAAGAAACCTACGAGCACCCATTCTTTCCGCAGAGATGCACCACTCCTTAGCTTCATCGCACGCTGCTTGGGCACCAATATCCCGCCCACCGGTTGACAGGGTTTGTTGCCTAATGTTAGCAAACAAAGCATCAGATGTTAATATTCTTGTACAACCCGCGAAAAGCCACATCCGGTAGATCTGCAATTTCAATGGTGGTGGAAAGAAAGTACTGCATTTTTCGCGGGTCGATCAAGTCTTCCCCGGTTTGCTGACCAGCTAAATGGATCACGAGCCAGGCCCGGGCTTCACCATCAACCTCAGTGCATGGTTTCGGACTATGAGTGATGGGCACAGACAGGAACCTTACGAGTAGCCCCCGGTATCACTCCCCAGGCCCACCGGCTTTCGGCTTTGGCCTTTGGCGACCGATGGTGCAAATTCTAAACCTTCTTTTCTATGAAACTCCGAAGAGCAGAAGCAAACAACTTGTGCATACTACTCTCGTACTCATCCGTCCCGGTAATACTTTTAGTTTCTGAGTTTAAACGGTTCACTATGTGCGAAGTAGCTAGGCCTTCCACTCTTCACCCGGGCTTATTCCCCGGCGTTTGCAGCCGATCAGTAGAGCGAAATATCACGGCACAGATTACTCTTCTCTAGTTTTCACATCTTGAAATTCGGTAGTATGAGGAGTAATAGACCGTCAACTTCAACCTCCAGGAAAAGAGATAGCCCTAGTCCTTCACATACCCGCCGACTGTTCTCCATAGCACGGCTCATCAGTTTTCAGAGGCGATGAAGCATCTTCCCACGAGGTTTGCGCGATTTTTGTTATATTTTACCGACAAGAGAGCTGAAACTTCACCAAATCTTGATGGAGGATGTGGCTATGCGGGTTGACTATCTTCCCGTGTCTCAAGTTACGCGATGTCGCACAAGAAGCCAACCAGTAGGTATGTAATGAAAACACACCTCTTACGGATCCCCATCTGGCGGGGTAAGATGATATGTCAACTTCTTCTCATCAGGAACTTTGGTAATAGATGGCCCGATGACTGAGAGAACTAAAACGTTCGGGAACATGCCCTCCATAAGTCAAACAACAGTAGCCAATCTACCCCGTCTTTTCACTCAACACCTATGGGTTGTGTAGCAACGTATTGGTATCCCTTCTCTCTCGACCCATTGCCTTGCCGTCACAATTTCTCTCCGTTTAGTATTGCGTTCAGGGTGGCGTTGTAAGATACCGACACTTGGCTGCCTTCATACGGAGAGCCTAGACCCCCTTTGCTGGCTTTTTCTTTCCTTTGCTTTTCCTTTTTCGTTTTTTTGCATGAGCCCTATTTCCGTGTGGTGGAGGTTTTTACTTTGTGCTGCTTCAAACCTACTTAATACGTAGCATACCGTCATAGATACAGTATCGCATCGTTGCGGATGGCTTCATCACAGCCAAGGGATATGTATTGAAACTGTAGAATGCACTGACTAGTTTATCATTGGATCTAGCAAAACCTCTTTAGGAAAAGAACGGCAGCGGAAAGAAAACGAAAGAAAAAGAAAAGACAGTCTGCGTTTGAAAATGGAGATGAAAATATGACCGAAAGGCAATCATTAACAGGCACATAAGCCATTCAGACGTAGGAAAATAGAGTAAAAATAGAGATAAACGTGATAGAAAGGCCAATCAGTAGAACGTGAGCTTGGCCGACAGCTCTATCTCCTCTCCGATCAGACAACCATCTGGCCTGAGCGCCCTGATATAAAGCACACCCCTGCTAACATCGCATTCGATCTCCAACGTGAACTTGATGGAATACTCGATCCTCCCATGGTCATCTTCCCGATGCCAGAACTGAGCCAAATTCAACTTTGAGAGATCAAGCAGGAACATGCCAAGTTTTTCCACATCTAGGCTATCAATCAACAAGGGGTCAGCTTTTCGTTAAGCCAGATCAACTTACCATCGGAAGTAGAAATTGGGCTGCAAGGTCCGTTGTACCCACACACGGCAATCAGGACAGATTTGGGATCTGTTGCCTTGTATATATGGCGTAATTGCACTTGGGTGGTGTGACCAGTCGCGTATCGCTGCCCCTAGAGTCGATTGACTGTTAGTGTAATGTATTCGAACCAACCCTAGAGATGTAAGGAAGATAAATAGTACTTTGTGTAGCACCCAGTTGATTGTGTTGTCACCCGGTTTAGCGACGCCATAGTGTCGAGGGCACTCGACCAAAAGAGGGGTGTTCTGGGTGGCATACCAGACGCCTCCTCTTGCGACGGCCATTTCTCTTCCAGGAGTCAGTTTAACCATCCATGTCACAAATAAAAGGTCTCTAGGTGAACACACGGGTTTGGACTAAATATCACAGAAATGTGTTCTGCAACAAGTAGTTTCCGAAAGTATTCCTGGACCCAAGGAAGATTCACCACTCCCCCTGCGAATACCATGTACTGGGACGAATATATGTCAGTCAGTTATCCTCTTTCCAGAGCCGAGTTCCTACTCACCTGGACACCGCCGGCAGCGTTGTACATGTCTCGGATAAATTCTAGTATCTCTTTCAGGACAGGGTTGAAAATGGCCCTCCAGTCGTCCATTGAGATGATGATTTCGCTGTAGTCAACGTCATAATGTAGCGGATTAGGGTCGACGATACCCAAGGGCAGTCGAATTCGAAATTGTTCCCCATTTCCGTCGCCGTCAGTGATGTCTCTCTTGTGGCGTGCGAACTCTCTCATCAGTCGACTGGACGGCCCAGTTCGATTAGAAGGAAGGGTGGCGAATTCCGGATCAAATCGATCGGTTAGAAGAGAAGAGAAGTTTCTATCGATGTTGGTCCCCCCGATATTGCGACCTAGTACGCATTAGTACACGTGGCGGTAAGTTAGGAGAACCAGACAATACTTTGGGGGGCCGACAACTGTTGTAGTTGCAAGCCATTCTGAGTTCGGAGTGCCATATATGAGCTCACATCCTTTGAGACGGAATTGTTAGCTATTGGAAAAATTGAAATTCGAGCGGGAGGAAGGGGGGGAGGGGGAGGTGGAGGGGGACTCTTACGGAGGTTCCGCCTCCAAGATCAACTATCATGACCTTTTCACCTGCCTATTTGTCCCACCACTTATTAGTCATATTGGACATATCTTAAATGTTGGGGTGCCACTGGCACTCACCTTTATGTCCTTGAGGAGGCCTTGCTCAAACACGTATCCCGCCGCGGCTTCAGACTCCGTGAGAAGGTTGATATCACCCTCACTAAACCCAGCATCCTTCGCAGCAGCAACCATCGCGAGCTGGGCCCCTCTCGAGAATGAGGCTGGAACAGTGAGGATATACTCAACCTCCAAATTTCCAATAGACTTGAAAGGCTCCCGAGACCAAATATGGTCATGAAGCCGTCGTAGATAGTCGCGGACGACGGAGTCTGCCTGCTTCCCTCCAGGAACGTGAAAGACATGATCTCCAAGGTCACCCTGACCAAGTTCAAGTCCATTTGCGTTGGCCTCTAAGACAAGTTTAGTCCATGAGCAGGATGTCATGTCTTCCGACACCTCAAAACCCCAACTATCGCGGTCCACATTGTTTTCAGCCCCGTAGGCAAACTTGGATGGTACTTTCCCGCCCCTATCAGTCGAATTGCAGTGACCTGGCCAATCGCCCACTGTCTGTGTGTTTTGGGGAATCTCCGGGTCATGGGAATTGACGAATCGGTATCCGACGGCTATATAACTACTATTAGTCACTTGGCCGTGTGAATGAACTCCATTAGAAGATACATCCCTGAACCGGTGGTACCATAGTCCACGGAAATAACAGCTTTGGGGGCTTGCATGGTGAACTGGGGGAAGGTGATTGAATTGAGAGATGTCAATGTCACTTTAAGGTATAGGATATTAATACCACAATTGGACTTGTAATTACTTCTGCCTTAAATTCTCTGGAGCGAAGAATTATTCACCAGAGGCAGGGGTAGCACTGTACTAGCGTTGATTTACTTTCCAGGACCCTAATAGCCTTCCTGGCTCGACTGCATGTTTCACCGGGACGGTGACAAGGTTTGAAGCGGTGGTGGCTCTGCTTTCCCGTTATTACCTTCGTTTTTCCCTCGTCTCCTTTGTCCTATTACGGCCGCAGCTCTCCGGTGGCCACCGTTCGTACCAACCCGAATGCAAGCGAAAACACTGTCTAAATTCTGGTAGAGAGTGATGAAGCCTATGAAGCCTTGGAAGAAAACATGAGAAGAAACCAATACCGAAAACTATGATTTATTTGTTATTTCCATTCTTCACTTTCGACCAAAGATCCCGTCGGTTTCTAATGTGTACTGGGCTAGCTTTGCTTTGTGGTAATTATTAGCAATTTCTGCATGGTACTTTCTCAGGGCTCCGAGGGTGTACGTTGTACAATGATGTGTGTAAAACGGGTGGCACGGTAGCTTTGTCACGCCTAACAGTAATTGGCTCCCGCAGAGGATGCTGGTAAGCTGAACCTCGCTCTACAATAAAGAAGACGGACAAAGAATCCTTTCAACGTACCCCAAAAGACCTGACTTATATGTAGCCTCCTCTTACCTACTCTTACCTACTCTTACCTACTCTTACCTACTCTTACCTACTCTTATCTACTCTTACCTACTCTTACCTACTCTTACTGACCACTTCTGTTATCTTTTCTGTTCAAATTCCTTGCCACTTTATCCCCGTGGCAGCAGCTCGTTTACCCTCCTCTAACCATGCCGAAAGAAAAGTCAACATCTTCCAAAAAGGGCACAGCAGCAAATGTTTGAATCTCCATCTAGTTGCCCCTTGGCCATCGTAACACGTTGGGCTAATATTTCGGTATTTAGAACGATGCTCCAGGTACCCGTCAGTCTACCTCCGGACGCAAAGAAACCAGAGAGCCCCGTACAAGGACCCGAAGCAGCAGCCCAGTTCGAAGAACGAAGACGGAGTCAACTACAACGTTGACAGGCGTTGACCCGGTACCAGAGATCGCGGAAAAACCTCAAGACCTAGAAGAAGAAGAAGAAGAAGAAGAAGAAGAAGAAGAAGAAGAAGAAGAAGAAGAAGAAGAAGAAGAAGAAGAAGAAGAAGAAGCAATGACCCTGCCGGAAAAAGGGCCAAACCCGCAGGTCACTGTTGAGGATGTCAAGAACAAATGCGGGGAAAAGAGCTTCAATTGGCACAATGTACACAAACCTCTAGCCATTGACTACGAGCATGCGTATCCGAAAGAGTGGCCAACAGAGATTCAGCGACCCTTTGGAATGGCTTTTGACTGGGCACGTAAGCATGCCGAACGCAAGCATGCCAATCTTTCTGTGGAGCAGAAAAGAGACCTCATCTCTAGCCTTGATGGCTACTGCATTCAGAATGACTTCGATACTATTGTATCTAGACTTCCCCGAGAATCGCAAAATGATTGTCTAACACACTTAGTTTATCTTTTGCTTGTCAAAGAATGCATTTCCAGGTTCTTCACGAATCCCTTCTGGTACCTTGTTCCGAACCCTAGGCCTGTGAACGATGGGGATGATAAAGGGGATTTGGCAGCAAACGCATCCGAATTTGGAGCACAGATATTGGAGCTTTTTGAGAGAATGCGTGAATGTAAGAAATCAGGTTCCCCATTTGACATCCTGTGCTCTGCCACTGATAGCTGACCTTCCCGGTAGCTGAACCAGCGGCTGCCCAGCTTTGGCGCTTATGGACTACTCGTTTCTCCCACCCAGATCATAAGCTCGGATATGACATGGTCGCTCATCGAGACTCCGTGGCTGACAAAATATGCGAGGAAATCTTGGGCCAAGAGCTAGTGAAATCTCTCCTCAGAAGTACGGATAAATGTGATCTGGATAGAGCCTTCCTTGACATGCAGAAGGTCTTCAGGTCAGCCGCTGAACTTTCGGTGAAAATTTCGTGCAACCTTGAGCGTCTGGAGTTTAAGACTCTCAATACTTTGGACCATGCCTTTCATCACCCTTCGGCGGAGATAGAATTGGCCGAGGATTATGGAGGGGCTGAGAAGGAACATTATTTTGATGACCGCCAAATTCTCTTCTTGGAGTTTCCCGCCATGTATCGTTGCGGAGATCTTAAGGATCCCTTTTATAAGGGTATCCTTCATAAAGCGGTTGTCTATGTTGAGGATGTAGATTAACGTTTGCTCAGCCACTGGGACATGCTGCTTTTTAAACCAGTCCTGTGGCAGTTGTCTGTTGAGTCTTTTTAGTTTTTATTTCTCTTATGTTTTTATTTTAAATTTTTTTCATCCCCGTTTAAATGTTATCTCACTTGTTTACCCAAGGGAGGCAGAATGTGAAGATGACTCCAACAGCTCTTGATTCGCGGCTTGGAGTTGAAACTGTCAACATTCATCACGAGGTCTTCAGTATTTCCTTCGGTTATTTCCGGCTTATTTACTTCTAAGTGTTGTATTCATCTGTGGACGATTGCTTTACCAGAATGCCAGATCAGAATTTTGAGCTCAAGGACTAGCATTAGCAGTTCCGGGAGGGGGCGGGCCTTATAAGGCGGGGGGTAGCTTGACACTCGGAAGGGAACTTCATCGCTACGTTCAATGGTGGTCTAGTATGTAACCTTTCAAACAAACATGAACAAGAATCTCCTATTCGTACAATTTTCGTATCGTGAATCGCTGCACATGTAATACTCCCGGTTCTTAGATCGTATGCTACCTACCTTCTCTAGTAAACATTTCCTTGTCTTTGTCTCGAGCACTACGAGGAAGTTATCAAGTCAGACCAAACGCAGCCATTTCACCATTGATAGCTCCTTTCATCAAGTCCTACCATCCACATCGCGTATATACACGACTTATATCAGCTGCATCAACCATTCCAGGTTCAGCTGGATCATAAGTCGGGCACATATTGTGGGTGTACATTTCAGCAAAGGGCATTATGCATCGGTCTGTCTCCAAGCACTGAGCGTGGGCCTCAGGACGAAGGCAGTAGTCGGCAGGCTTACCCGTGTCCAGATCATTATATCCAACAGAAGTAGCGTACAATCTATCCAGTTAGCTCATACGCTAACTGGGGAATGCCTGCATTCAGCCCCACGGGGATTGCCCTTTCAGGACAAGTGCTGACAGCTGGTCGTTTGTTCCTGACAGGGTATATAGGATAGTCGCATGTAGTTTACTGCGCTCAAACCCAGCAAACTCCTTTTCTCCCCTTCCCCACAAGCCACGCCTAATAATGTCGAGCGAAAAGTTCAACGTCACGGAGCATGCCGTTCCCGGCTGCCATATCCGAGAATATCCCGGGAGTACTGTTCACAAGGAAGACATACTGAAACTCCATGTCAAGCAGTATACTCCCAAGAACCAGGCCGAACCCGTTCCCGCCGATGCCATCACTATCATCGCTGCTCACGGAGCTGCACTTCCCAAGGTAACACGGTCTTACTGGCACCTGTTTGTCAGGTGCACACAGGTCTAATTATACGAATTGGAAAATTCAGGGATTGTATGAGCCACTCTGGGATGAGCTGCTAAACCAAGCCACCGGTTTCCATATTCGCAGCATCTGGGTGGCCGACTGCGCCAGTATGAACACCAGTGGGGTCTTGAATGAGGATAAACTCAGCATGGACTGTATGTAACCCACCCCTCAAAAGCAGCTATCTTGTCTCCCAAATGATGCCAATTCTAAGACAAATTATCTCTTCTCCACACGCAGGCTCCTGGATGGATCATGCGCGGGACCTGTTCCTGATGATCAACCACTTCCGCGAGCAGATGCCCCGTCCACTCGTAGGAATCGGCCACAGCATGGGCGGCAACATCATGTACGTGCCAGAATAGACTCTTCGACCGCCAGATATACCAGCAGCAGCGAGCACTGACCATCCCTTTCAGCACGAACCTGGCCTTTCTCCACCCGCGCTTATTCACAACCATCCTCCTCGTGGACCCTGTCATTCAGCTGAGCCCACCAGCTATGGGGTTCGGCACCGACCCTCCGGGGGCAGCGAATTACACTCTCCGACGCTCAGACGTATGGCCCAGCCGCGAGGCAGCCGTGCAAGCCAACCGCCAGTTTATGCACGGATGGGATCCTCGATGTGTGGAATTGATGGCGGAGCACGGCTTCCGGGATTTACCGACGCGGCTGTACCCGGACGTGGAGGCGGTGAAGGCGAAGTTTGGCACATCCACCACCGACAACAACAATACAACTCCTGTCACTCTAACCACCACCAAGCATCATGACCTCCTTGGCCAAATTCGACAGAATTTCAGCGCCCGCAAACCGACCACTGGGGTGATTGAGATCTCTCGCGACTCCCATGCCGATTTAGATCCCGTGGCTGCCTTCATTCCCCTCTACCGTCCCGAACCTCGCAGTACCTTCTTCCGTCTCCCCACTCTCCGCCCCTCCTGCCTCTGGGTCGTTGGCGGATCGACCTATTTAAATCTCGATGAGATGCGCCTTGCGATCAAGCGGTGTGGAACTGGGGTAGGTGGGAGTGGGGGGTTGCCTGAGGGGAGAGTCAAAGAGGTTACATTACCTGGCTTAGGCCATCTGATGCCGTTTCAGGAGGTCAAGGCTGTGGTGGAACCGTGTGCGGCTTGGTTGCGCGAGGAAATGGAGCGATTCAGTCGCGTGGAGCGAGAGTGGGAGGAGGCGCAGAAGGGGAAAAGTCATCTGGTGGTTGAGGATAACTGGTATAAAGTTTTGAAGCCGGTAAATGCTCGTCGTGGTAAGGGCGGGCCTAGTGCGAAGCTGTCGTGAGGAATATTGTCCATGTAGGGCATAGTCAAGTACTTCAAATTTGCCTGTAGTATGCACATCAGTGCATGGTGCTGTTTATCTAAAGGATGTATTGGCAGCTGCGTTGGAGTTGAACTACCACCCTATTTGGTGGGCGGCATACTAGTCCTATTCTTAGTGTCATCCAACACCACAATCACTTAAGTGTATAGTTTGATATATTGAGAACTCGCTCATTTGCAAATGGTTATACATTCTTCCCTGATCGATACTCAGGAACAAAAAAGAAGAAAATAATAAGCAAACAAGAGAGGAAGTAATCTGTTAGCCAGCTGTACACATGTTTCACTCGTGGTAAAAGACATCTCCTTCCCGCAACGCTTGCTTCTCATTGATACTAAACTCAACGGCAAGAGAGGTAGTCAATGCTTGCTATAAGCCATGTCAGAATCACCGGGCGAAAAAAAATGTCAAGCAAGAAAAAACTTACGGCAATTGTATGACCGAGAGCTTCCCTATTCTTCGGCTCCCAACCATCCATGAATCGTTCGTCCACAAGCCACGCCCGCAGTGCTCTGATATCACCACCGAAGATTGAATACATGAGGGCGCTGGTTCCAGATCCTGCAAGATTCAATTAGCATAGCCGTATATACAGTGGAGAGCAGACTTATTACCGATCATCTTGTGGATGAAGCTCCCCGACAGTGTGTACTGGCCATTGCTCCGCTTGCACTCCGCACGACGAAGACCAGAGTAGTAGGAAAAGTCGGTCAGTGATAGGTGTTTCCCATCTGACGCGTGGTCGAGTAATCTATTAATCAGGTCGGTGTGCGGGATGCTTTGGTCCGGGCAGAATGCGATGTCGGGACGGGTAAAAGAAGCGTCATGTTGGACAACCTGAAATCCAATATATTAGTTCCTGCGTGAGAAGAAGCTCGCCAAAAAGAGATGTTTGACAGTGAGAGAAAAGCAAGGCAGGCAAAGCGAGATTATCATGTATACGTACGTTCAAGACGTTGAGATCGTGGAGATCAATCCAGCCTCGACCTTGGTCCAGCTGCTTAGCTGCAGAGGTGAGCTGACTTGCTAGAGTTGGTGCAAGGTTGTATGCATGTTGGATTGCATGCGATAATTGTGCGTAGGTAATACGTTTTCCATTATTTGGCAGGATCCCTTGCCGCCATTACTCAGTAAAGACTGGTTAGATCAGTAAAGAAGGCTGACATACCATGATTAGCTAAAGCGTTAAGTCTATGCAAAGATTAGGGTCAGCTATTATGTGAAAGATATGGGGGTTTGACGATTACCCTGGACAAGGCGAGCGGGAATCTTCTCCTCGCTTAGGAGCCGTGAATTCTGGCCAAACCCCTCCATGGCCTGGGTACCCACGGGGTATAACATCCCCGACTGGACGATTGGGAAGGAAGGGATTCGTGATCTATTTAACTGCAAATAAGCTCAAAAGTCTTGGTATTGAGGGTGGCCATTCATAACGCACAGTCGATATCAAGTCACGAACGGAGAGTTGAACAATGTAGACACTAAATGAAATAAGATCGTAGACTGCTTTGAGGAACCGGAACACGATGTTCGCGGCTATCTTGAAGTAATTTAACATCATGAATGAGGGTTTGTTTAACCAGAAATAACCAGAAACAAAGACATAGTAAGATCGCGTCGGAGGGGTTAAACAGTTTATCTAACCCAGGTACGGCCTCCAGGTCATATGTAGTAGCTTACAGTAATAAATTTGGGTTGCTTTGTTTTCCTGTTACACAGCAGCCCCTGACGAATCGCCACAAGCGTCACCTGCATCAGCGATCGGTAAGGGTAGCATGAGTAGGGATCTCGCAGTGCTAGCTCAGGCTTACCCTACCGGTCTCACAATTTAGTTGGGGTTGCCTATATACCAACACACTTTGCCCGAGCTATTTTGTAGACATTACAGCTTATACGACAGGCTCATGCCGTATCTATTGTGCCGTTCAAAATCTAGTTTGTCCAGTAACTTATGAAGGTTAGCGATCGGTTATGACCGATGCTCAGGTGGAGAGTATTCCCCATCGATGACCTGGGCAGGTGATGCATGATCTTAGCGGAATATTACTATGGTGATCGCGGCCACGATCGATGCTAACGGGGACGCATGCTGCAAATCCCGGCTAGGCCTCTCTGTCTTTCTTCAGTGGCTAATTCACCTACGCTTTGTAATACGAGATGCGCGTCCCTATTCCTAATTAACTCGACATAATTGGCTCAGTTACATGCCCAAGACTCACTATTTTAACTTGATGACAAAGGCTATTCCGAAATCGAAGACTAGTTATTATGTGTGCGTTGCTTATATCGTAAGCAAGGACAGCCATTGTCTTCAGCCCCAGTGATCAAAGTCACTCGAATATCTTTCCTACGCTTTCTGTTTTGGATATATTGTGGAATCAGCCATCCGGCAATTGTGCTTGTGATATTACAGCTGCGAGAGAACATATCATATGCCGACTACCACTGAAACTAGGTATTCGACTGGTCATATGTGACATCAGTCTTCAAATCAAGTAGTGGGAGATCAACGGACTCGTGGACTCATCGATTATACGCAACCAATGAGATGATCTTGCCCTGCAGAAAACACTGCCACCAGGCTGGGTCAGCACTTGCAGGATCCATAATGAGGCAGGGTGCGTGGCAAGCTCTGACTGGACACTGAAGAAAAAGAAATATCGAGTCAGGAGGGGCCGAAATGGATGCTAATTTTGGTACTTATCAGAACTTGCTTACATCATACGGTTCATTAGAATGATATGACAAATGTGTTCAAGTTTGCTATGGCTACAATAGTCTGAGAATAGCGTATAGATTGTGGTTTCAGCTCACGCGGAGGAAGCTGGTTAGACCTACGTGCGACTTTAAGCTTGTGCGGTTTGTTTTGGTTGCGAAGTATTAAGGTGAAAAGGAAAGAAGCCTGGCGCTTTGCTATATTATACGCGTCAAAGCCGAATGTTGGATCACTCAGTGAACGATGCGCCATAGATCCACCGCACCATCATATCCAACGCTACATCGGGTCTGTCTTGGGGAAGCTGTATTTATTAAAATACCATCATTAGCAAGCCGCATACCTGCATCCCACAAAGAGAAGAGAGTACTCACAAAATGTCCTGCCCCATCAACTGTAACTAGCGCAAACCTCGACTCCTTATCCGTACTCTCACCAACCTTTACCCTCACCTCCTTGGTCGTTCCAGCCACTCCGCTCTTTCCGGATACCACATCCACCGAACTCCACGACTGCAGTGGCTTGGAGGTAAATTCGACCTGACCCCTCCACGGCAGAGAATGCGCCCAGCGCAAATTCCCCGCCGTATTACACGCCAGATCAAGATTTCCCTGATACGCGAGGAAATGTACCTGATTCGCAAGCAGAAAAGCAATCTGCTCCGACGCAGGCGTCATCTCGTCCGAAGTGCGATCGAATGCGCGCGGCACATTGTCGGAGGTGACCTTGTATTCTTTGATTTCCTTAGGTGGCGATAAAGCGGCCCAAACTGCGGGTGTGTTCAGGTATTGCTCGATACGAGCCGCTTCGATGTAGCAGATGCCGTCAATGGCGCAAGGTGCGGTTACTGTTGCGTATAAGTAAAATACCATAGCTCCGCTGATAGGATATGACTGGGATGGGTGAATGCTCACTGTCAAATCGATTCCGACCACCCTTCCCAGACTCGTCATCATACCATCCGATTATACCCTCATAGCATACTTCCGACGCAGCATGGCAAATGGCTGGATCGGGGTTCCGGTTGCATACGTCGAAGACCTCCATGCATCGCGGCATGTTGGCAGCCATGATGTCGCATCTGGTCTTGTTGAAGACCGGTTCGGGTACGCCAGGGTTAGTGGTGCAGAGTGTTTCCCAGTAGCCGTAGGCAGTGTCGCGAGGCGAATAGTAGCCGTTGCCTACAAGACATGAGTGCAGAAGGACCTGGGGCTCATTGGGATAGATCTTATTCTGTTGAACGATTTGGCTGCCGAGGTAAGGGACATAGTGACCCTATATATACTATTAGTCTTTGCTAAGATAACCTGGAGAAGACACTCACGGCATACGACTCCCCCGAAAGATGAAAGGGAAGGGACTGCAAATGCGGAAACACCTCGGAAACAAACAACTGCAAGAACCGATGCATGTCAATTGCAGCTTGATGCGAGTCGCCTGGCAGTTCTTCGCCTTCATCAACGTACGAAAAGCCCACATCGACTGGCTGATCGACAAAGAGTAGAGACGAGTTCCGCGACCATCCCCAGGGATTGTAATAAGTGCCATTGCCGTACTCATTGATCAGACATGGCCCGACTTCTTCGAATAGACCGATCATGCTGGAACCGCCTGGACCGCCCGTCATCCATAGAGTCAGGGGATCATTGGCAGGGTCATTCTGGCTCTCGAAGTACCAGAAGAAGAGATGCTTATGGCCAATATCGAGCCAGCCGGTGTATTGGGCGGAATGGGCAGCGCAGAGCGATTCATTCTGCTGGCGGATGCGGATTGAGTGATGCGGGGAATATGGGCTGTGGAATGTGCGGAAGTCGGACGGCTCCTCTGGCTGGAGTACGGCCTGGGTGGAGGCATATGCCAGGCCGAATAGGGCTGCACCGCTGAGAAAACGCATCTGGGCGTGGGGTGTGGAGTATCGTTTCGAAGGGAGAAAAAGAGAAAGCAGGAGAGGGAGATTCTGGGGTTCAGGTTTTAGCAACAGCTAGGCAACAATTGCGCTACAATCACGATAGCACGCGTGTTTTGCCAAAAGGCGGTTCTAGCCGACCTGGAGAGAGACATGTCAATTGTTAGTGCTGACTGGAGTTGATAAGGATGACCCTGGACCCGCATCGGCCCGATGCAGTCGTTTGCCGTTGGAACAGCATGAAGAGCGTTATCAGTGGATTTTCTTTGACATTATATACAATATGTAAATTTCATCTATCATCTGACAAATCATCAATCGTCTCGTGGCATAAGCGTTGTAGCCGTGCTTGAAGTCCTTGCTCCCCGAAAGATAGCACAATGCATTAAAACAAGACTGACCCACCAGTCAGCGTCCCACCGGATAACGGGGCACTAATGATTCCAGCCTCCAACAAATCCTGAGCCAGCCTAACAAGTAGCCCATCACACCCTTTCGCAGCCAGAACGTCAATGGCGACAGGAAATTTCTCCTGATGCTGCGTGATGGTGCTGTAGGCCTCAATTTCTCCAACTGGAATGACAAAGTCCGGCACACTAGCCATGTTAGAGATAAGGAATTTGCTGTAGCCCGAGGGTGCATCAGGGAGCGAGCGATAGACGTTACGCGCTGTCTGGGAGCCATCGGTCCCCACATAGACGATAAGCGACGAAGAGCACTGCTCTGGGTCGGAGATCGGAGTGAGATAATTCTCGGCGATCCAGTCCATGAAGAGCGTCTTGTTGTGGATGGCTTCATCCAGTGCGGAGTCAGGATACGCCATGGACCAGTTCCACCGGGAGAGAGGGACGGGGTCGACGAAGGGGACTCGGCCATCGTGCTTTGCTGTTTGTGTATTAGTCAATGTTGTGAGTGAGAGGCTTGGGCCATACGTACCTGCATAGTCGGCATAGAAAGGATCCCTAACCAGAGGGATCTGCTGCTTTGTGATGAGCATCGGGTAGGTCAGGTTAAGCAACGTCTCAAGCGAGACATTAGCGGGAGCGCTGGACGGCGGCTGTGACGACCAGTCGGCAGGTAGGTCCAGCGGGGTGGCTGTCGTATTCAGAAATGCAGCCAGGCGCTTTCGGAATCCAGCCAGCAATGCGTCTGCGGCAGAGTCATTGGTCGTCGGGAAATCGATGGTGTACAGCTTGCTGGGATAGCGAACCGATTTGCCTTGGAACGAGGTGTAGTTAGTGCTGTAGAGGGCTTGGTTGGCTCGGTCCCAAAGGTAAGGGTCCCTTGTCAGGACTCCTGCAGTATCGAGCACCGGAGACATGGACATGACATGGTCGAGTTCGACGAGACCGTGAGATGGGCGGGAACCGTAGACTCCCTGAACCTCGGCAGGATTGCGGATAGAACCACCGGTATCACTACCAAGAGCCAGATCTAACCATTCGTAAGAGCCGATGGAAGCACCAGCGCCTGACGAGGAGGAAGAGGGATCCTGGTAACCATCTCCACGTGGGTTGAAGGGTGAGTGAAGGTCGACCCAGTCAGCTGTAGCCGTTTCACCATTTGCAAACTGCGAGGGCTTCTGTAGTCCAACAATAATGGCGCCTGCGTCGATCAGACGCGAAACAGCGGTGCCAGTGACGTTGTTCTCTCCGTACAAGTTGTACCAGGCCCGATTGCCGTTGCTCTGGCGCACGCCAGCGAGGCTGTAAATGTCCTTTACGCCGACGCGGGCCCCGGCCAACGGTTTCTCAGAGCTGGGAGTATAGTAGATGCGAGAGGGTACACCCACTGTGGATGAGACCAGACCGGCCACTTGGGCCGACAAAGGCTGGAATGTGCCGTCTGGCTTCTGGAGCAGTGGTTGCGTAAAGGCTCCTGCAAAGTCGCTATACAAACGGTAGACTGGATAAAGCTCCCCAGTAGCCTGTTCGAGGAAGTACGGGCCTGATGGGACAACCCTGGACTCCAAAGACACGAGGACACTGGAG